GGGGGGGGGGGTAAAGGTCAAAAAAACATCGAAAACTGATTTTTCGAAAAAGACATTTCTGGAGGTTTTTCGATGGGGGGACTTCGAATCTGAGGCCTGTTAGGTGACCAGGGTCAGGGGGGATGAAAGGGGGGGGGGGGTAGAGGTAAAAAAAGCATCGAAAACCGATTTTTCGAAAAAGACATTTCTGGAGGTTTTTCGATGCGGGGACTTCGAATCTGAGGACTGTTGGGTGACCATGGTTAGGGGTGGGGGAGTAGAAGAGGGGGAGAGGTCGGGTGTGGGCGCTACTTGAATACAGTATCGGTATCCACACCCACACGCACACCCTAACATATAACACGAGCTTATACATTAGAGAGAGACGGCGGCGGATTCAGCGAGCACGGCAAGACCCCCATACTGATTACGCAATATTGAAACTACATCGAGAAGCTGTGCACATATTACGTGGTCATTTTTCGATTGCAGACTCCTCTACTTGTGCAAGTGAATCTGTTCACTATGCAATTTTTGCAAGGATAACAGCTACTTAAACACTTCCATTTCTGCTGGAAAAATCATCTTACTCTGGTCGACCATCCTCCTATTCAAATATCACGTAAGGACTGATTTTTTTTCTTCGCACGGCTTCTTTCTCGAGTTGAGTCTCATTTTCCCTTCTCACCTATCGATAGGTTAGGTGATCTCTTCTCTTCCAAATTCGCTTAGTCAATTTTTATTCTCCCTTCGTTACTTTGCTCCCTCCCTCTTCATTTTTCCAATGTTTCCTCACATACAAGCTCCCCCTCTCTCTTGCGATTTTATTTCATTCTCTGCTAGGCTCTCTTCTTGTTTTTGCATCGTTGTATGTGAATGTGATTTTTGTTAAAAGCTTTTTCGATACTTGAATCCATTTTCATAAAGCACAAGCGTCACTATCTTAAGTAAGTAGAAGATACAGAAACCAGATCATGATCATTATTGATCAAAAGACTTCAAACGAGACTATTTGATACCGGGGCGTTACATTCGAATACAAATACTCAGCGCATTCGCATAGATGATCAGTCGATGAGCTTACTCGCTACTGTCACAGTCGACAACGTTTCTTCTATGGTACAATCATCTACAATATGAATCTTGGTATTATATTGTCTTGTATGTATTCTATAAAACAAATGCAACTACATTGCTTTATTATTTTTTGTTCTAGGTCACCATCCAAGTTATCAAAAATTTTAAACAACATCGATCGACTATAAGTGATTCAACCACACATTTTATTGGTGAATGTACATACCATCGATCCGTTGTGGACTCTGACCCTTTTTGGGATTTGTTTTTGAATATGAACTATACATAGTGAAACTAGCGTTGCATTCAATATGTGTCATCAGTAAATCTCAGCCACAGAGCATGAGACACAGTTGAGCTAAGTTGTTCATAGTCAGGGATGTCCCGATTGAGGGGAGGGAGGTGTTCTTCTCCGCGTAGTTTCTGAATATATATGTCAACTTTACTTTTTTTTGCCACGGACCCAAATATTACGTGGTCAAATTTGTAGTTTTGATCCTCCTACTCCGGACACCCTTGTTCGTGGACAAGCAAACGTCACTATATACGGTCCGACCAAGCGTCAATCTCTATCATTCAGACTCCTGTAATTTCAGATTTCCACATCTAATTTCTATTAGTAAAAGTTCAAGACGCTTAAGCTGAAGCCATGAGTGCTAATGAGCAAAAGGTAAATACATTTTACGAACTTTTGAATAATCTAGTAATGAAAATATAGACGCCTGAAAAGGTTACAACGAAAAACAATGAAACGACTACTGTGCGCGTGCCGCGTTTCACACCGCCATTGAGCCGAAAAGAAATTCAATCAAATACAACGTCTTCAAGAATGGCAAGAAAAGAAAGAGACGCCGAAAGGAAAAGACTTCAACGAGCCAACGAAACTTCAGAGGAAAGAGAAAGGCGAAACGAAAAGGATCGTCTTTACGCTCGTAGAAAACGAAGTTCGGAAACCGGTGATGCATCATTAGAACGCTTAACCAAACAACAAATGATTGACAAGACCCGTAGAAGTAACGAGACGGCTGAACAACATCGAATTCGATTAGAACAACAACACGTCATTGATACTACGCGCCGAAGTAATGAGACGGCTGAACAATATCGAATTCGATTAGAACAACAACACGTCATTGATACTACGCGTCGAAGTAATGAGACGGCTGAACAACATCGAATTCGACTAGAACAACAACAAGTGACAAATAACACAAGAAGAAATAATGAGACGACTGAAGAACACCGACTCCGACTAGATCATCAGCAAGAGATTAACAAGGCTTGTAGAAGTAACGAGACATCTGAAGAAAGATCTGCACGTATCAGAAGTGATAGTCGACGTCGCCAACAGCGTATGCTGGAAAAGAAAAATAATCCACCTGTGAAAACATGGCCAGCGGCTATATCTCAGAAAGTCAAAGAAAACTGTCTCAGTGAATTTAACAAGAGAATGTCGATGGATAGTCTACGGGAACAAGTATGCGTAGTGTGCAATTCGCGACACAATGAAAAAAGAATGCATAATGTACTGCTTTCTAATATTAATGATGCTCTTCTTAAACCTCATCAAAATCTTTCTGAAATGATTCCTGGCATTCGATCAGCAAACTCACAAGATACAGATTTTGACGAAGAAATGATTTTTTCCAATGAACAAGGCGAGTTCCAACATTTTTCACGTTTCTCTGAAAACTCCTATTTTCCAGGATGTCATGAGACCACGACTCACAAGAATTCTACATATCTTATATCAAATGGGCGGATTTTGTACCGTGACGGTTTGTTACAAGGAGAAAGTTCGTCCGATGCCGACTGCCGAATGTGTCACGAATGTTGGTTAGCTATATCAAAGGGAAAAATTTCAAAGTTTTCACCTGCCAATGGCATGTGGATAGGTGATGTACCCGATCAATTGAAAGGACTCACTATTCCTGAGCAGAAGTTGATTTCTCTGTATCGTCACAACAGTTGTATCATCAAACTACACTCTCCATGGCACTCACCTAATACTGCTCAACCAGCTCTCAAGGGCAATTGCATTACTTTCCCGCAAAACCTTTCGAACATTGCCACCAGTCTTCCTCTATCTCCAAATGAACTTTCTGCGTCAATCAAAATTATCTTTATCGGACCCTCCAAGCCATCTCGCCATCACCTTCGCAAAATCCTGTCCGTCAGACGACAACGGATTCTCGATGCGCTTATTTGGCTCAAAGAGAATAATGTATTGTATAGTCACATATCTCTCGACAAGCATATTATTGCTGGTCTTCCGGCTGACGATGTTCCTGGATCTATTTGGGAAACACTCGATTATATATTAGATGATAAGAATGCTCATGCTGAAAGAGAAGGATATACCGAAGATCCCCTCACTAGTAGTCAAGCTATGTCTGAGAATGCCACATCCGACTTCATACCTATAAATCCAAGTGGTGTTCTGGATGTCAACGGCGCATCTGTATCAGTAGAAGATATTAATAATCACATGCTTCGAAAACTTCGAATCGATGCAAACAAGCAGTCTGTCAATTTGTCTGAAACCAACACTGTAAGTGCAGCTTTTGTATGTTTATTTTTTTACTTTTCTTTCCACATTTAGGATGATGATCTTATCCACATGATTCCAAGAGGAGGTGCTCCCACCAATGAATACAACAATCCGACTCTGTTGCTTGGTCTCTATCCGACACTCTTTCCTTATGGAACAGGAGCCTTTGAAGATGCTTCTCGACCAGTAAAAATCTCATTCAAAAAACAAATCCAGTATCTTCTTTCCTATCACGATCGCCACTTCGAAGAACATCATTCTTTTATATTTATTGTCTTCAATATGTTACAACGACGAGAAGCTTGTCTTCATGCTCGATTAATGACATCAAAACCATTTTTTAGCAAAACAGCCGACCAGATCGCCTCGCTGAATGCTGATGATATCAAGCAAGTACTAAATGGTTTTGAAAAGAATAAAATTAATACATCAAGTCGTAGTCCGCAAGTTAATGCACTTTTGAGTCAAGTTAAAGCAGTCGGAGGAAAAGTAATGGGTTCAGCACAGTCTCGATCAGCGCTACGCAACCAAATTCACGGTTTAATTTTTAACCAAGGCGTGCCAAGCATCTTCCTTACCATCAATCCTGCAGATATTAACAGTCGTGTAGCTCTTTAATTTGCAGGAATTGATCTTGATTTGGACGCGATCATTCCAAACAATCTTCCATCTACCTATCAAAGGGCTGAAATTATTGCATCACATCCTGTAGCAACAGCCAAGTTTTTTCATCGACTCATTACAACGGTTCTCGAAACGATGATTTCAGGCGAAGGAGTTCTAGGACCTGTCAAGGGATACTATGGCACAGTAGAAAATCAAGGACGTGGCTCATTACATTTACATATGCTCATTTGGCTCGACCATAAATACACGCCTGCTCAACTTCGCGAAAACATAAAAGACGAACAATTTCGTAATAGTCTTAGAGAGTATCTCGAGGACATCATTAGCGAAGATTTAGACCATTTGTAATATATATTCGTTTGTTTTTAAAAATATTAAATGAATTATATTTGTACAAAAGTAGATTTAGTTGAAAATTAGTTATCATAGTGTGTGTTTTCTGTTTATTTCATTTTATTATTTGTTTTTGTTATCAAATTAACCAATAAAACACGCATATATGTAAATAATATGTTTACTCTTTTTTTCTAGATAATTTACACATTATCATGTCACATACATTGATGACAACAGAAAATGTTGATACTAGCGGAACAAGTAAGTGTCAACTTTCCCAACTTATAGGCTAAAGTCTTTGTATTTAGCAACCATTTTAATCGACAAGTTATTTGCATCATTACTTCGAGCTCCTGACCCATCTTGGACGAACTTTGAAAAGAAAAAGAAAGAAGACATTAGATTGCTAGTATGCGAATCGAATATACATAGACACACATCAACTTGCTACAAATACTCGAAGAATACTGAGTGCAAAATATGTAGGATGCGTATGCCTCGAGAAATGTTCCCGATGACAATCATTGATCCAGAATCAGGCGAGATACGAATGCGTCGTTCACATCCGATGATCAACAACTTCAATCAATCCATCATATGTGTATGCCGTTGCAATATGGACATCAAATTTATTTGGTCAGGCACGGATGCAAAAGCACTCGTATATTATTGCACGGACTATATCACAAAGACAAATCTATCCTTTCATGACACATTTTCTCTTATACAGAAGGCTGTTGGACCGAATGACAACAACAACATAGCTGAAAATTCTGTCGACAAAGCTCGAAAGCTCGTTTTGCGCTGCTACAACTCTCTAGCTTCACAGCAAGAACTTTCTGGCGTTCAAGTAGGCACTTATCTGATGGATTACGGCGATCATTACACCAGTTATGGATTTACTAACATCTTCCTCATAGCTATCGAACGCCACCTACAAAATGAGCTTGAAAAAAATAAAGTTACTCTTGCTTCGTCTTCCACGACTATGCAAGCGATGAACACAAATCCGATCGATTTCATCGAGGACGTAGAGGAGGACACTACCGTTATGATGGACGAACAGTTCTCGATCGAGCAATCCACTGATCCACAAAAACTAGTTCTGATCAATCTACGAATTGACTATCAGTAACGGTCTCCCGCACTGGAAACAGTCTGTCTCTATGAGTTTGTTAGTCTCTTTCATCGAAAGTCATTCACCGATAAAGATCGACTTAACGCAGATCGTCCCTCCACAAGCACCGAAGGTGTTCAATCAGACTCAGGTCGTCCACGTCAAGAAAGATACACATTTATGAGTGAACATCCACAAGCAAATTCTCATGGCATAATTAAACGCCTTAAATCTATCGTTCCTGTACTTGTCGGCCCACAGATTCCACGTAAAGGCAGAGAAGAGACTCAAGAACGATATAGTCGAGCAATAGCTACTCTCTTCATTCCATGGAGAAGTGTCAAAGATCTTTGTGCTGTCAATCAGAGTTGGCGCGAAGCACTTTTCTCTCGGCAGGAAAGTATTTCAACAGAGTCAAGGCAGATTATCGAAAATATTCAACTCTTGCATGATTGCAAGAAAGATCGTGACATGCATCTACAACAAATTATCGCAAATGTTCAAGCCAGTGACGAAATAGATCCTTGTCTTTTCCCTCGAAACACGCGTATGGACGACAGTGACGAGGATGATGACGATTCGGATCAAAACGAGACGTATTTGAGTTTCCTCGATAGCATAGCAAATAATAATCAAACATCTACCATCAGTCATCTTTCTGAAAAAGAGCAGCTTTATCAAGATGAAGCGCTTCGCTCTCTTCATGAAGTTGGCCGATTTTCGAATTGTACCAGTAAGTATCTTTTCTTGATAATAGTAACTCTACGTATGTGAAAATATTTTTCTGATTAGGACGCGACCAATCATTCATGGTATCCACTTCTCTGTCGCATTTCAGTGTCAAAACTCAGCATTCAGTACAGCAAAATGCTGCGTGGCAAGCCGCCATAAAATCTGATGCTCTTCGAAGACGACAACAGAGTATCTTAGAGGATGCTCCTGCGCCACTCAACTATGTCTCTAATGAACTCATCTCAACTAATACTACAAACAATATTGCAGAAAGTGCAACGCGAATTGACGACCGAGTGCAGTCTATTACAACAAACACATTAGCAATTCCAACTCGCCGGCAAGTTTGTGAGAAGTTTACGCTCAATGATGAGCAAGCACGAGCTGGGTGTGGGTGGGTGTGGGTGTGTCAAGCTACCATGATCGATTTCGACCTTGCTTAAGGGTCTTA